GTGAATAATATGCTAGAAAAGAAAGAAAGAAAAGTCAACAGATTCTCTTCTCTATTTTAACTCCATTTTGTAAAACTAGGATTAATATGGGAAGTATAAGGGCAGGATAATCTGTATCTCTTTAATTGAACGTAATGATGGAAGGAAGAAAATCTCACAGTCCAGAAATATCTCTACTAAGATGCCTGCCAAAGCTTAGACTGTGCTGTGTTGAAGGATGTGGAGCCAGGGTCCCTTCTCAGGGTAGAAACACCACTGGCATCTTCAGACAAACCCCTTATTTAAAAGCCTCCCACTGATGAGATGGAAATCAGATGGAAATCCGGCTTCCATTTAAACACAGTTTAAAGCTTCGGTGCAGACCAAAATCTACCACTGTTCTGCGAACAGACGTATCTCTTAACACCACAATGAACCTCTCTTTTCTCTTCCTCTCTCTTGCCTTATTTGCAGTTTTGATGTGTGAGTATCCTACCGATCAATGCAAAGGATGAACCATGGCTGAAGTCAATATTTCATTAATCAATGCTTTGTCCTCCACCTTAGGTGTCCATGCCAGTGTTCGGCTCGTGGAATCTGGACCAGGAATGCTCAAGCCTGGGCAATCGCTCAGACTCTCTTGTGCAATCACTGGGGATTCTGTGAAGAGCAGCTACTGGCATTGGGTCCGCCAGGCTCCAGGAAAGAGACTGGAATGGGTGGGACGGATCGACTGGAGTAGCAGCACCTGGCGTATACTCTACGCACCGTCACTCCAAAGCCGAGCCACCCTCTCTGCCGATTCCTCCAAGAATGAGTATTATCTCGAGCTGAGATCCCTAACAGCTGCCGACACTGCCGTGTATTACTGTGCCCGAGGAGCACAGTGAGAGAAAGCGAAAGAGGAGCTGTACAAAAAGAGGAAGCGCCTCCCTGCTGCTGCTTTTCCCTTGAAAGGTTTTGTGAGTTTAACTGTGGGATCAACATTCCATGCAATATTTTGGAGTGTTCTTGACGGTCATAGTGTTCTCCAATTAGCAATGGTGGTGACATAAAAGGCAGAGACTTTGGTTCCGGTTAAACTATGGCTCTTTTTCCTTCTCTCTCTTGGCAATGGCGACTACAACAGCGGCCCTCAAGGCCTCTTCCTTTAGTAGCCTTTTCCTCCTCACGCTGCCATGACTTCTGCTGCAGCATCACGACGGGGACGATCAGGAGAGTCTGTGGGAACAACAGCTATAACTGCCGTGCCACTTTGGTCACACTCAAAGCACCCTTTCAGATGACCAGTGGGACTCTCTACTCTCTGGCAGCATCCACTGGATTAGAACACGAGTAAGCATGAGTCAAGGTCTGGCTGTCCTGGGCAATCCCTAGGTGATAATTCCATGGGCTCCAGCCCAGTTTTATTGGCCGTAGCAGCTTTTATGACAGGTGACACGAATGGCCAAGCTCCTCTATTGCTCCTTCCAGCATTTTCCAAGGGGTTCAAGTTTCCAGCACTAATCCCCCAGACTCAGTCAATTCCCCTTTTTTCTTTGCCCCCACTTGTTTTCTAACCCACATTTCAAATAAGACTTGTGGGGTTGTTAAAGAGAGATGCATCCATCCGCTGGTTCGCAAAAACTGAACAGAGACAGCTCTTGTAAAAGCCAGGCCAGGCGTTCTCCTGTATCACACAAGAGGGCAGCAGATTGATGCAGGATTATTTATTTATTTATTTATTGTTCTTGTTGTTTCTGGTGTGTGTGCATGCGTGTGCATGCAGTTACAGAAGTTTCATTCATTCATTCATTCATTCATTCATTCATTCATTTGACTTCTATACTTCCCATCTGGCTGCCACGTCTGCTCTGGGTGATTTCCATATTAAACAAAAATGACAGCAAGAACAATTGAAAATAATAAACATCGCAGTTCTAAAATCAAAAGAAACACAAAGAAGTGACACATTTCAGTAGTAAGTATGACAGGATGTCACTGGGCTTGAGAAAAATTGGACAGGGGGTCCAAACGTCTGACTCCAGCTCTGTGGATGGTCGTCTCCAGCTTTTCCTCCTGAAAATGAACCTTACCCTGGGGATCTGGCGCCCTAATCTCTCTATGAAAATCAAAACAAAGCTCTCCTCACCCAAGACAGTCCCATAGACAGAAGAGGAGAATGGCTTGGGGTAGCTGCATACACAAACAAACAAAACCCAGGGATGTTGTCAGGTCTTCCTGTCTGAGTCCCCGATCTGAGTCTGAATCTTATCTGTGCTGGTGCTATTTCTTCCTCAGCAGGGGCAATGACATCTCCTCCTCTTCCTCCTTACTCCAAGAGGCCCAAAGAAAGAGGAGGAAGGTGACCCCTTCATCTTCATGAATAGGAAGCCATCATGGCTGCCTCTTTGTAGGTCAAGGAACGCTTCCCTATTGCTACCGCTTCCTTATTTTTTAATTGACTCCGACTCACTTTTTTGAGTTTCTGTTATTTTAATGGAGGCCTGAAAGTCACTGTTAACATAACAGAGACTCGAAAGAGCAAGTTGGAAAAAAGATTCTAAGTTGTGATTCGAGTCTTTTTTACAACACCCCAAATTGAGTCCAAGCTGAGTTGCAGTGCGACTGACGTCAAAATCAACTCCGAGTCGCCATGACTGAGAAAACCCCGCTCAAAGGCTGGTGTGGGTGTTTGGGCACAAGCTGTGCACAAACACAAGGACAATTTAGGCCAATCTAATATCTCAGAGCAAGTGAGGAGAAAGTGATTCTTTGGCTTGCGGTCTTTTTAATTTCAGCACTCCTTAGAGGTGATGCTCAAACAATTTAGGGTCAGGAGCAGTGGCTCTCAACCTTGTGTAACTGAAGCGTTCCTGGACTGCAAGAAGAAGGCTTCACAAACTGCTGTGGGGTCTCTGGGAGTTGTAGTCAAATACACCTGGGTGACCAAGATTGGGAAACACTCTTCTGAGAAAAATACAGAACAAATCACATCTGAAAATTATCATTTGGACCAAGCTTTTTCTGAGATGCCCAGCTGGTGGAGTCTGAAGAGAACACCAGCAGCCTTGAGTCCCATGGCCAAGAGAAAGCCCCTGGCCAAGTGATGATGATGACGATGTCAGGAAAAATATATACAAAAATAAAGAAGACAAAAAAGTTGTGGCATCCCCAAAGTCTAACTACTATATTTTAATGGGACCTCTTGTCGACAACTCCACCTCTTCAGACAGACAACATCATTATTCAGATGGTGACGATGACGACAACAACGTGAATAATATGCTAGAAAAGAAAGAAAGAAAAGTCAACAGATTCTCTTCTCTATTTTAAGTCCATGTTGTAAAACTAGGATTAATATGGGAAGTATAAGGGCAGGATAATCTGTATCTCTTTAATTGAACATAATGATAGAGGGAATGGTAGAGGCTGATAGATGATAGAAACGATTCACCATGATTTCTCTTGGGCAGGAAGTTAGGGTACACCTGCCTGCCTGCCTGCCTGCCTGCCTGCCTGCCTGCCTGCCTGCCTGCCTGCCTGCCTGCCTGCCTGCCTGCCTGCCTGCCTGCCTGCCTGCCTGCCTGCCTGCCTGCCTGCCTGCCTGCCTGCCTGCCTGCCTGCCTGCCTGCCTGCCTGCCTGCCTGCCTGCCTGCCTGCCTGCCTGCCTGCCTGCCTGCCTGCCTGCCTGCCTGCCTGCCTGCCTGCCTGCCTGCCTGCCTGCCTGCCTGCCTGCCTGCCTGCCTGCCTGCCTGCCTGCCTGCCTGCCTGCCTGCCTGCCTGCCTGCCTGCCTGCCTGCCTGCCTGCCTGCCTGCCTGCCTGCCTGCCTGCCTGCCTGCCTGCCTGCCTGCCTGCCTGCCTGCCTGCCTGCCTGCCTGCCTGCCTGCCTGCCTGCCTGCCTGCCTGCCTGCCTGCCTGCCTGCCTGCCTGCCTGCCTGCCTGCCTGCCTGCCTGCCTGCCTGCCTGCCTGCCTGCCTGCCTGCCTGCCTGCCTGCCTACCTACCTACCTCCCTACCTACCTACCTACCTACCTACCTACCTACCTACCTACATACATACATACATACATACATACATACATACATACATACATACATACATACATACATACATACATGCATGCATGCATACATACCTTTTATTCTTCCTCTGCTCAGATCTACATTATCACCTACATGAAATACACAGTGTATAGCTGTAAGTCCTGCCATCTTTTCAGTGGTGGTGGTTTAATATCATAATAATTTCTGGTTTTCAAGCTATTAATATTCTCTGTTCTAACACTCTAAGTTACCTTGGTTCATAGTAGTAAGCTTGGATACACAGATATACATACATAGTTATCTCCTATTCTTCCTCCTCTCAGATTTACATTATTACCTACATGAAATATACAGTGTACAGTTTGAAGTCCTGTTGGTCCCAACTCCCAGGGGTTTGGTGGGTGAGCATTAACCATGGAAAATATTCAAGGATTTGAGCCTATCAGAACCTAAAGAGAGGCGGAACGTTCTTAAATTTCAGACAAGCAGCTTCCAGAAATGGCGTTCCAGGCACAATGTTAAAACTTGCACTTAAATAGAACTCCCAAGTTCTTTGTGCTCCAGTGGGTTTAATTTGTGCTTGGGAGTCAAACAAATATGGAAATTGGTTGTTGTGGGGTTTTTTGGGCTCTTTGGCTGTGTTCTGAAGGTTGTTCTTCCTAACGTTTCGCCAGTCTCTGTGGCCGGCATCTTCAGAGGACAGCAATCTGAAATATGGAAATTCACCTTGCATTAGACTGGAATTCAATCCGGCCATTCCTGTTTTGAATTGGGTCATGTACAGATTGGTCCAAATCAGCCGAATTTGCTTTGGAATGCAGGCTTCAAAAACAAGTGAATCACTCCACTATCAAATGCTTTGTGTATCTGTTTAATTCTAACATTAATACCCTTCCTCCTTAAACCGACCCCCTTATGCAAATCTAGGATGCTTTTTCTTCTGACTTAAACCCACAAGAGTGTCACCGCGCACACAACATCCAGGAGAGCACAGAGTGTCTAATCTAGAGACCAATTCACCAATCGTTATGTCACCCTTCTTGCTGATCCTCGTTGCCTTGGCTGCCTTTTCTTCATGTGTGTTGGCCTTTGAATCTTAATTTGAGGGTTAAAAAGGCTTAATTGGGTGTCTGTATGATGACCATGGGGTTTGGCTTTTTTCTATATCACCCTTCTCCCTCTCTGCTTCCCAGGTGCCTTCACACAGGTGGTCCTCACCCAGTCAGAACCTGCAGTGAAGAATCCTGGACAGTCTCACAAGCTAAGTTGTAGAGCTACTGGGTTTGACGTCAACGGCTACTGGATGGAATGGGTCCGGCAGAAACCTGGCCAAGGCTTGGAATGGCTAGCTCACTATCTTAACCCTAGCAGCAATTATTATTCATCAGCAATCCAAGGGCGATTCACAGCCTCCAAGGACAGCTCCAGCTTCTACCTGCAAATGAACAACCTGAAAGACGAAGACACGGCCGTCTATTACTGTGCAAGGGACACAGTGAGAAAGTTTCCCCCATAACTCGCACAAAAACCTTTTGCATCATTCATGGTCATGCGGAGTCACCAGAGGGGGAACCAAAGGACCACAAAAGAAAAATCGATTAGGAGGCCAGAAGAAAATACTTGATGGTCTATGACTGTGGTTTCATGGCTCCCTTCTCAGCCTTGGGAAAGGTTATTCCAGATGCTTCCTGTTTCAGCAGAAACAACAGATGACAGACACACAAACACAGACACCACAGTTTGAAAGAATACCATAGACAGAAATGTGCAAGAAATTCAGAAAAGGGCAAAACACATATCAGGATGTCAAAGACAGGCTCCCATTGAAAACCCACCCATCCTATGAAGTTTAAAAGGAAAAACCCATTGCCAATGCCACCACAGGGGGTGTGAGATGCTTCCAGAGGAAGGAAGGAAAGCCTGGCAACCCTCCAGAAAGCAAGAAAGAAAAGGACCAGCCATGTGGTGGGTAGATGGAACAAGTAGGCCACCCAGGGAGGAGGTGGAAGGGTTCAGGCATTCATACAAGGGTCCTCCATGGCAGAAGGAAGGCTCAGTTGGCAAAAAAAGTTAAGCCAGTACTAGTCGCACATTTGCCTGAGCATACCCCATTTATAAACCATAAAAAGGAGTGCACCATATCAGTTGAGAGCCACCCATCCAGCAGCCACAAAAGCAGAAGCAGCAAGAGGATCTCACGTTAGAAAAGCAGGGAGACCATCTAGCCTAACCCAGCCCACTCTGTCCACAGCACCATGTTGGTAGCTGCCTGCCAGGTCACCCCTTCATCTCTGCCCACGTCCTGTGGACACTGTGGCTGTAGAGCCATGAGCCCATACACATAGCGTGCCTCCTGAGCACCACAGCACCTCTGGAAGAGGTGGAAGGGACTGGACTGCTATGGGATGGAGGTACACCATCTAGCCTTACCCAATTTGGCTTGATGGGTGACCTTCTCACCTCTGTTCATGTCCTGAGGACAATGCAGCTGGAAAAAGCATTTTTCATGTCATTTTTCTTGTCATTTGCTGGACCTTCAGTTCGCCTTGGAGAGGAGATGGTGCCTCCATTGCTAAGAGCCCTCAATTAGACCCACGAAGTGGATCCATACCCACCATCAGGACTGACATGGATGCCCAGCGTTGGTGGTTCTAGGAGGACACATGCTCTGCTGGGTGTGGCTTCCAAAGTGCAGCACATCTGCCAGGGGTCCCTCTTACTCACTCAATTGTTAAATTGTTAGGATAAATCTTGTGTGGGATAAATCTTCTGAACAGGCTTACCTTGCCTGGCTCTGCAAAGGGACAGCAGTGGGATACTGAAAGTCATTGGGACTCAGTCAAATCAGGAGAATGCCACGTTATCTGGTTTCATTGGTGAGGATGCTTATATCCTGAGCTGTTCTCCTCACCTAACATTGTCCCATCGGTGGAAAGTAAAGAATAACTTGAGGAAATGGCAGGAAAAAACTGAAATCCTTCATCAAAGGCCCGTGTTGCTCCCTTTTTCCTACGTTGTGTGTAAATCTAAGGAGAAATTTAAGCCAGTCCCCATTCAGAGAGCATTTGAATGGAAAAAGAATCCTTAGTTTGAACACATTTTCCCTTCAGCATCCTTTGGAGGGGATGTTTCTGGTTTCAAATGCAAAGGACAAGAAAGATCTAGAAGGAAAAGACATGACCGATCTCTGAAAACTTCTGGAAAGGCTTCTTCTCAGAATTCATACTGGTGGAGTCCAGAGAGTACACACAGTGTCTTGAGAAAGACAGCATAGAAATCCAATCAAATCAGTCAATCAATCAATAATAATAATTTATTGTCATTGTAAGTATATACACATACAACGAAATTCAATCAATCAAAGTCAAGAGATTCCCATCTTTATTTTAAGCATACCTTCTGTTTAATGAGGAAAGAATACCAGTTGGACAGTCTTTTGAATTAACATGAGGAAAGAATGTGTCAGAGGCATGAACTGTCTCTATCAAGATCCTTGTCATAGGTGATGCTTTGTTGTGTTGAAGTGGGTGGAGATTAGCTTTCTCATGGAAGAAACATCTTTTGCATCTTTGGGCAAGCCCCCCTTTTAATCCCAGGCGCTCATGAGATGGAAACCCTATGCAAATTGGGCTTCCCTGTAAACACAGTTTAAAGATTCATTGTAGACTCAAATCTACCACTGATCTGCAGGAAGACATTGCTCTTAACTCCACAATGAAGCTCTCCTTTCTTGCCCTTTTCCTTGCCTTATTCTCAGCTCCCATGTGTGAGTATCCTACGGATCAATGCAAAGGATGAACCATGGTTGAAGTCAATATTTCATTAATCGGTCCTTTGCCATCCCCCTTAGGTGTCCACGCCAGTGTT